TTACAAATGAGGAAACTGAGCCTGAGGAAGGGAGTTGTTCAAGATATGGCAGCTATAATTTGTTGAATACGGCCCATAGGTAAATCTTTAAATATTATTTCATTGAATTCTGGCAAAATAAGGTAGGTAAAATTCTTGTCCCCATTTTAAAGATGGGGAGGCTGAAGCTGAGAGGGGGGAAACGGAGTTAGCCAAGGCTGCAGCTCCAGGAAGGGCAGCGCCTCCCAGGGACTCTGTTTCCCCCTCTGCCACCCACACCCAGCACAGCGCTCACCAGGGGCCTCGAACTGCAATATAAATTACATCAACTCGGTCCACAGCCTCCAGACATCCTTCCGTTGGAAGGAGGCAGAGAGAGAGAGAAAGACAAAGACGGAGAGAAGAGAGAGAGGCAGAGAGCGTCCAGGGAGGGGATGGCCACCTTTGAGGACAACTTTGACTAATGAACTCTGGGTCTGGGTTCTCAGAAGCAGATCATTTCTGACAAAAGGACAGAATCAGATAAACACCCCGCTGTGCCAGATTTGAGGCTGATCTATGGGGAATGACATTGATGTTGCCATGGAAACCAGTCTTTTTCCCTCAACTGTTCGGGAGCACTATTTTTCTAAAGAGATGGTGGTGTGTGCTTCTTGGAAAAATGATCAGGGATTTATCTCTTCTTCTTCCACATGACTCTCCAGTCGGATTAGAACATGAGGTAGGGATGAGGAGGAGGGGCAGGATAAACTGATCAATAACAGTTCTGACAGGTAGTCTCTCGATTTTCCAAGAAAAACGTACATCTCTCTGAACACCTCCGGACCTGCCTGCCTTCTGGGATTACCATGGTGCCATCACGGCCTGTCCCCGAGGTGCAGCAATGGTCTCTTCCGGCCCCTGCCTGCCCCTGCCCCTGCCCCCGCCCCTGCCCCCGGCCTGGCCTGGGAGCCACAGGGGAGCGGCAGCTGTGTCGTGGGCCTGTTTCGTCTCTGCACCCAGCACGGGCATGGAGGAGACATTCCCTTACCCGGGAGTGCTGTCTGATCCGTGGCGCCTTCTCTCCACCCTCCTGAAGTCTCTCCATCCCAACGCAAGCCGTCCTTCAAGGCCCAGATCTAGGGCCCTGTCCTCCGGGGACCCGCGGCTGACAGCCACCCTGTCCGGCCCTCCCCTCCACCTCTCCTGCACCCCTTCCGTCTGTCTTCTCTCCTGGTCAACTAGGAGCCTCTCAAGAGAGCGGCTCCCAGTGTCGGTGAGTAGGTTACAAAGGGTGCAAAAGCCACAGACGGAGCTGATCCCACGGACCAAGGGGCTGGTTTCTCGTGATTTCCTGTCTTCTCCTGACTCTCCATCAGCCAGTGGCGCTCTGCAAAACCCCCTCCTCCAAAAACCAGAGCAGCTTTTCCCTGACCAAACCCCCGCTGGTTCTCTTCGAGAACTAATCTCCCACTCCTTGGGTCTTATGGGAAGAGTTAGGTATCCTCTTTTTTTCTGCTGAGAAAGGTATGACTCTACTGAGCAGAGCGCATGGCCCCAGGGTTGCCCCTAAAAACAGAAGTGTCTGTGGCCCATCCCCTGTCCCCCATCCTGTGCCTCCTTTCCAGTTACACACCCATAGCCTGTTCATTCCAGAGAAAAGATAGCTTTGGTTTATTTTTTGAGGCAATGGAGTGGCAGATCCATTTATGACAGAATGTTTGAACATGTGTTCATTAAGTCTTTAGTTGACTTTGTGTAATTGAAAAAAATAGTGGGTGTTTACGCATTGGCCATATGGATCAGCCTGCCTCAACAAGTGGGCTGCCGGCCCAGATCCCTGCCCTGGCTTCACCCCGGCCTGAAGAGAGGCTGAATTGCAGGGCTCTGTGGGTGCGGGTAGGGTTGTCTCACCCCAGAGCTCAGCAGCGTGGGCCACCCCAAAGGACGGGAGCCCTGCTCTCTTCCTTCTCCTTCCCGCCAGGTGTGCATGAATGGCCACAATCCCCCATGCAGCAATGAACTTGGAGCCTCAGCCTCCAACTCTGCCCAGAGTCAATCCCAGCCTTTCCCTCAACCATACTGTCATCTGAGTTTGAGAAGAGCTGTGAACACAAACCATAAACTACTGAGCAAAATATAGGGATGAGCGGTTACTGCTGAATGGCACCGCGGTTAGGACACCGGTCCCAAAACCTGTGGGTTAGAATCATGGCTCGGTGGTGGCTTCCTAACCATGTGGCCTTGTACAGGCTGGGGCACTGCTCCGTACCTCCGTGCCTCCCTCCCAGAGTGGGGGTGAGGGTGACAGCGTGACAACAGTGACGTTAGTGATGAGGGTGCTTACCCCATGGAGCTGATGGAGGGTTATATAACACACGTAGTACCTGGCACGGAGCAAGGGGCATTCACGGGTTTGCTACTCTTTTTTTAATCGGGGGTGGGGGGGCCTCTAAATCACAATCCCAAGATCAAGAGTCGCATGCTCTACCGACTGAACCAGCCAGGCACCGCACATGTTTGCTATTCTTTTTTTTTTTTTAATTTTATTTATTTATTTATTTGAGAGAGAGAGAGAGAGAGAAACAGCATGAGAGGGGATAGGGTCAGAGGGAGAAGCAGGCTCCCCGCTGAGCCGGAAGCCCAATGTGGGACTCGATCCCAGGACTCCGGGATCATGACCTGAGCCGAAGGCAGTCGCTTAACCAACTGAGCCACCCAGGTGCCCCATGTTTGCTATTCTTAACATTAACCGTTAATACTGAGTTCTGGCTGAGAGTAAGCTAGTTTGCTTTTATGATAACAGTGACCTGACTTTAGGGGGGGAAATGAACTCTAACCTTGACAGGGTTGTTCAAGGTCTTAGAGAAGCAGGGTGGGGGGCAAAGGAGCCATACACACCTGGGTTTGAATCCCAGCTCATCTTCTATGGCCCTAGGGCACCTCTCCATCCCTCTGAGCTTCAGTCTCCTTATCTGTGAAATGGGGTCAATAACTACGCCCTGCCATGGTTATAATAAACCTAAAGCTAATTATGAAGAGGACCCCACTGATCACTCACGACCTTCCTCCTCAAGCTGTTGGCTAACAGCCACCTGTATTACACCAGTGGCATCCTCAAACTCTTCTTTTGCCAGCGTCTCTGTCCACATCCAACTCCATCTCCAGATGTCAGGGTGTTGACTATGCATCATTCATCCCTGAATGCTCCATGCCCAGCATAGCCTGGCCCTCCAAGGGTGCTCAGCAGATACTCACTGGGTGAAGGACAGTGCACTGCAAGCCAAGTGGCCAGGTGTATCTCTTAGTCCTTGCTTTTGACCACAGCATCATTTCAGGGCCCACCTGCCAGAGGATGGAGGTCCCCCACAGCCCAATTCCAGCCCCAGCCCCACAAGACACTCTGCCCCCAGAGCCCACCCTATCTTCGGGGACTGATCCCTTCCCCCAGCATCTTCCCACCAGGCTCACGGAACAAAAGGTGAGGAAAGTTGCAAAGGACGGTCAAGAATTTCAGACACATCTATCTTTATTTGTTTCCTGTCAGAAAAGTTCAAGAATTACACCAAAAAATACTTCAGCCTCTGCTACCTACTGACAAAAATACACCACAAAATTATAAAGCACTCAGCGGTTTTGCTAGGGACAATTTGTTATTCCGCTTCAGATGACAAATGAATTTACAGGTGACTTGAGGTGATGGGGTGGGAGGAGGAAAGTCAGATGATAGCGTTTGGCAGGATAGTTTGAGCGATGCTAGTCTTCTTACCCAGCTGTTGTGTATGATTTCGGCAACATAGCGAGCCAGGAGAAAATGTCCATTCAACAGCCTGTCGCAGCTTCGTGGGGAAACAGTACTACATCTCAGATAACCAACTCTCCCAGCCAATTCTGGCCCTGCAGGCCTGGAGCCACGTCCCACTGAGTGGGCCTTCCGGAAACCTTTGCAGGAGCGCCGCCTGGGAGTACCTGATGTGGTCCCAGCGCAGCGGGAGCCCCGGGCAATGCCAGATGCTGCCCTAGTCAGGAGCTTCTAGAACTAGACTGGGGACTTTGGGTGCTTGTCCAACAGCTGTCAGTACAACAAGCGGGCAAAAGACGGTCACATTTTTCAGCTTCCTTTAGGGGTGATTTGGCATTGTTGCAACCCTGGTCTTAAAGGCTCCCTGGCTGTCACCTGCGGGTCCCGGTTATGACCTTTATCACTCTTCCAATTGTTATTAGCACTTTGGGAAACAACAAGCAAACAAGACTTGCAAAATGTGCTGCTTGTGCTTATAGCTCGGCCACATATGATACGCCTGTCCCGTGCCTTGCTTCGTCCTGCGGCCTCTCGTCCCCTCTCCCTGCCTACCTCTGCTGTCTCTTAAACATAGGCAGTATCCGGTGTCGATCTAGACACGCAAGAAAAAGACAGAGAAAGTCTGCCTCTGCTCAGTGTTTGATTGCAACTCTGCATCCCCAGGCCTCATGCGCCGGCCCAAGCCCCAGCTCAGATTCCTGTATGGACAGTCTGTGTTAACTTGGCAAAACACACCCACGGTGGGTGCTCTTGACTTTGGGTTGTGTGCGTCCCAGACCTAACCATGCCAAAATCAGCCCTCTTCTCTAAATAGGCCAGTCCTGACTTCCTCTCTTCCTCTCCTGCAGAGCAGGGGCCAACCACGTAGCCCCCGCCTGCATCACTCACATTTTCTGTACCTTCCAAACCCCCACTGAAACTACGGCTTCTCATCGAAGAAGCCCAGAGTCTGTGCTCTTTACTGCCCGCCAACGCCTTCCAGATGCAGCCAGTTTAATCCTTCTTTGTTCATTTTGTTTCCTTTTCTGTTTTTAAATTTTCCTAACAAGTAATAAGCAGTGGCTTTGAAAATATCTTACATGGGAACAATCAACACGAAACATGCCTTTGTACATAATCCTGACTTGGGGACGAATCAACAATACCAAAGGACAAAAAGAAATACCGATTCAGACAACTCCAGTGCACGATATTTTCGGCGAGTTCCCCCCCACCCACCCCGGCCCCACCCCCGCCCCCATATCCCAGGAGTACAGTGGTGTCTTGTAACTGGAGCTTGGCTTAGCCAACAGGGGGGCTCCCCTCTGTGCCCCCCATTCTGGCTGGGGGTGGGCCTCTAATGGCCCTGGGTCTTGGGCGGCTTGGGCTCGTGGATGACAGCAGCCGCCGACAGCCACGGCCCGATGGCCCGAGCGGTGCTCTGCTTGGCCACGCTATAGTGGCTGATGACCGTGTAGAAGCGGCTTCTGGAGTTGGGGTCCTGGGATGAGTAGTAAGCATCCAGGGAGGCCGGGATACAGCGCTTGTGCTGAGGACGAGAGAGACAGAGTCAGGGGGAGTTCAGCGGACTGCTTCCAACTCACCCTGCGCCTCAGCCACCCCATCCGGGAGCCACGGCCATAGGGGGCTCTGTGCCGGAGGGCAGGTGATGTCAGCTGGCCTGGGCCCGGCCCTCAGCACTCTTTCCCCAACATCATCACCATCGCCATCTCAAAGCCACCACCTACTCGACACTAGAAAGAATAAACCTGATGCTAGACTGGTGGTTGCGAGAGGCTGGGGGACAGGGGCGGGGGGTGAAGGTGGTGAAAGTGGCTAAAAGGCACAGACATCCAGTTTTAAAATAAATAAGCCCTGCGGATGTCATGGACAATGGTGACTATAGTTAAGAACTCTGTCTTGTATACCTGAAAGTTGCTAAGAGAGTTGATCTTAAGAGCTCTTATCATAAGAAAGGAATTTTTTTTCGTAACTGTGTGGTGATGGATGTTACCTAGACTTACATTTAAAAATATATGCAAATATTGAATCATCACATTGATTCTTGAAACTAACATGTTGTATGTCAATTATCCCTCCATTTGCAAAAAAGAGAGAAAGAAACCTGAGGCTGGTACTAATCCACGGTCCTCTGCTCAGTGACTGTGAGGCCACAGAGGGCACCAATTCCGCCCCCACCCCGCCACCGACCTCTTGATCCAGCTCATTCACCCATCCCCCAGCTGCTTCTCTGGGCCATGGCTCCAGCCTATGGCTGTCTATTTTATTTCTTTGAGTTTATATTTGTAACTCCTCTCTCTTTGATCCAAATCTTTGGTTCCCAACAAACATTGATAGAATGGCCTATTTGCGTTATCCTACAATATATATCCAAATAGTCACAAAATAACACGAATATTAGGACCAACAGTTAGATTATTGAATCAACTTTAAGATTTCTTTGTAACTTTCTGTATCCTTAGAATATATTCCTCTGGGGCGCCTGGGTGGCTCAGTTGGTTAAGCGACGGCCTTCGGCTCAGGTCATGATCCTGGAGTCCCAGGATCGAGTCCCACATCGGGCTCCCTGCTCAGCAGGGGGTCTGCTTCTCCCTCTGCCCTCTTCCCTCTCGTACTCTCTGTCTCTCATTCTCTCTCTCTCAAATAAATAAATAAAATCTTTAAAAAAAAAAAAGAATATATTCCTCTGTGGGTTTACAGTCAATGCACTCTTCTCGTTTGGGATATTTATTTTCTTTGTACGTTTATGTCCCCAAATTGATATAGAGCTAGGTTCTTTGTTAAGTTTGTTTTGATTTTGAGGAATGACTTGCTGTTATTTATTTTTTAGATATGTCAGACATTTACAGATACCAAGGACAAATGGATAGCAAGATGTATCCAGAACAGCCTTGCTCCTCTTCCCTGTCCCCTCTACTCTCTTCCCTCTTCCACCCCCCCCCCCACCGAGTAACCATTTTCCTGGTTTTTTCATTTATCCTTCTAGAATTTCTTTCTGAAAATATAAGCAAATATCCTTCCCCTCCCCTTTTCCTCACACAAAGGCAGTGCCTTTTTCTCTTCATTATTATCCTGGAGGATATTCCAGGCCTGGGTCTGGAGACCTTCCCACCCATTTTCACGGTTGCGCAGAAATCCCTTGTGTGAACATGTCATCGTTCATTCAACTGTCCCCTCTTGAGAATTGTTGCCTCTTTGAGAACCTCAGCTTTTAACTACCAGGAATGTAATCTGAAGAAGCCACGGAGCAGAACTGAAGGATGTGTGTTTCTAAGGCAGAACATACCCCATTTGACTCCCTCACTTAGGAATGTAATGTGACGGTTTGGAAAACTCTCTTACCCTACATGTTCTTCCCCTGTTTCCTCGTATGTAAAGTGGGAGCAATAAAATCTATTTTTAAGAATGCATGTACAGCTCAATTGAGATAATGTTTATGAAAATATCGAGGAAAGGCTGTGACTTATAATGGGTGCTCAGTAAATGGCAATTTATAAACATTTGAATCACCTGTTTTCACTGTAGAACAGATTCGGTCTTTATGACAACTAATATTCGTTGAGAGCCCATTATCTAATAGGTCTTTTGCTAACTTAAATTCTCTCCTTAAGGCCTCACAAAAATCCTGCAGGCAGGTTTTACCAGTGCCCATGTTGCAGGCAAGAGAACTGAGGTTCAGGGGCGAAGAGACACCCCAGAGTCACGCAGCTGGTTCGGTTCTTCAAGGGAAGGAGTGCGATCAGAGCAGGGTCCAGTGGGACGGGCCCAACAACAGAAGGACTCAGGAGACTTCAAAAGCACCCACTCCCACCACAGGAACCGGGAATCGGACATCAAACCAGGAAGATGGGTGCCAAGGCAGAGCTTTCTGAAGATGGACCGGCCCATCTCAAGCGGAAGCGAGCTCTCCCTGCCCGCTGACCTCCAGCCCGAAGCTGGACCACCTCTTACTCCTGACTCCAGAGAGCACCATCTGAGAGGAAGAACTCTACTGCCTACTGGAAGGAAACCAAGTGCTTCATGAAACGCCTTGCCTGACACAGACTACATTTTCAATGGTCTGCAGGGAGGTCCCCTGAATTTGGATACCAGCGAAGAGAAGACATTGATAAACCCTCTAATTGAGGTTGGCAGTCACCTGGGGCCACTCACCTGCCAGAAGCCCCTTACCTTATAGACAAATCCCTCTGGGCAGCTGTGGTCATAGGTGAAGGCTTTGTAAACCACCAGGAACACGATGCAGGCGAGGAAGGCGAGGGCCAGGCTGACAAGAATGGTGACCTGGAGGAAAACAACGTTGAGAGTCATCCAGCCTCAGCCCTACCTGCCTTGAGCCCAGCACACAGGCAGCCTTCGAATCCTGGAGCCGGTAGGCAAAGTGGTATGTCAGAGAGAGCAGGGGCGGCCTGGGGCCCGAAGAACGGGCTCTGTTTCACTCTGTCACTAACTTGCGGTGTGACCTGGAGCAAAGTACCTGTACTCTTTGGGCCTCAGTTTCCCCCTTCTGCTAGATACTTTCTGAAACTCCTTCTTGGCCCAAGGTGTGATTCCCCCCCTCATTTACTTTTCCTGTTTTTGTTTTTCACTTTTCCTGTTAAGTGTGTGTGTGCTCGGGTGCACAGCCTGAAGCAGGGGGCGGCAGGGTGTGTGGCGGGGGGGAGTCATTAATCCACCTGTCACTTCCGGTGCTTCTGCTTTCCATCACCACCACCCTCCCTAGAACTACTGAATTCCGATCTCAGGTACACCTGCCTCTTTCACCTCTGCTAGGACATGCGACCAAACTAAACCCCTGCTCCTTGCCATCCCACATCTGTTCTGCCTACATTTTCCCCCAGGTCCACCTTTACAGTCACTTAGGCCAAACATCTTGGAGTCATCCTTTTTTCAAAAATTTTTATTTATCTGAGAGAGCGAGAGAGCAAGCATGAACAGGGGGAGAGGCAGATGGAGAGAGAGAAGCAGGCTCCCCACTGAGCAGGGAGCCGGATGCAGGACTCGATCCCAGGACCCTGGGATCATGACCTGAGCCAAAGACAGACACTTAACCATGTGAGCCACCTGGGCACCCCTTGGAGTCACCTTCAACTCTTTTTCCTATATTCTACATCCAGTCCTCCATCAGAAGCTATGGTTTCTGCCTTCAAATATATCCCATAATCTAATGGCTTCTGACCTCCCAATTGTCTCCAACCCAGCCGAGTCATCGCCACCTCTCATCTTTAGTCCCAAAGCAGCCTCTAAACTAGCAGCCTTCTTGCCCCCTTCGATGCAATCACATGCAGCAACCAGGGAGGTCCTTTCAAAATCTAAGTCAGGGCATGTCCCTTGTCTGCTCAGAAGCATCTCATGGTGTCCAAATTGCTCACAGTGAAAGCCTAGCTCCTAACCATTATCTACAAGCAAACTTTAAAAAAATAATACAAGACTAAACAGACAGGATTTACCAGAAAGGAGTAGATGGTTAATTTCAGAGGCGCCTCCAGGCTTGCACCAACCCCATCCCACTCCCCGTGTACAAAGTGGTAGGGTAATCCCATAACATGGGGCACCTAGTGTTACTCGCAGAATTCTTTTTCATGCTGTTTTTAAAAGCTGGTGGCTTTTTGAGCCAGTTGGACGAGACACATGGCAGAACTCCTCTCATGGAGAGGAGGTTTCTTTTGATTCAGAAGAAAAATAAAATCAACCTCGGGGGTCCCCATCCCATCTCCTTTTCCACTCCAGGTCATGGTTTATACGGACCAGAGAAGACAGAAGTCTATGTTGGTCCAAATGAACGGAGTTGTTTGTTGGCAGCTTTAAATACTGGGTGGGAGGCATTGGAAAAGGCAAGAGGAAGATGGAGATGGGAGGTGTCCATCCAAACCCAATGGGCAGACACTGTCTGTGAGAAATACCTTGTGCACGTGTGTATGAAGTTTTAGGACAGTGAGCTATTATGATATAAGAAAAATATATATTTGGGTCTTGTTCCCAATTCCTGGCACAGAGCTCCTAAAACCCTTATAATTTCCTAAATGATAGGAGCACTAGAAGCATCTTTTGTTCTAATATTTGGGTTTTGCGCCCAGTTCCTGAAATAGCCCAGATCCATAAAAATGAAAGGAGTCTTTTATTATTCATAAAGAGCCCCTTTCAGCCACACCTGAGTTTATGTTAATGACGTGACTTTTGGAAAGCCTCTAAGGAGGGGGGCCAGTTGCCAGGGAGCCACCCATGGGATTAGAGGGTTGGAACTTTTGACAGCACCCCCTCACCCACGGGGAGGGGAGAGATTGAGTTCAATCACTAATGGCCGATGATTTCATCAATCATGCCTATGTAATGAGGCCTCTATAGAAACCTTAGCTGAAGGGATTTAGAGAGTTTCCAGATTGGTGAACAAGAACACGTCCATATGCAGGAGTGTGGCTCACCCCATTACTCTACATGGGGACAGAAGCCCCTGTGCTCAGGACCCTGCCACACTTCATCCTGTGTATCCCCTCAGGGGGCTGTTCATCTGTATCCTTCATAATAAATCAGTAAGACTAATATTAAGCGCTTTCCTGAGTTCTGTGAGCTGTTCTAGCAAATTATTAAAACTGAGGAAGAGATAGTAGGAGCTGCCCGTGAATAGCCAGCTGGTCAGGAGCACAGACACAGCCTGGGACTTGGGACTGGCATCTGAATGGGGACAGTCTGTGGGACGGAGCCCCTCAACTGCTGGGTGTGCACTAACCCCAGCAGCTAGTGTCAGAGGTCAGTTAAATTATAGAACATCTAGTCACCGTCCCCTGAGAATTGGAGAATTACCTGGTGTGGGGAACACCTCGCACGTTTGATGTCAGAAGTATTGTGGAAGGATGGAGAAAAAGCAGTTTTTCCTTTCAGATGGTGACATGCAAAATTCACTTCTAAACTCTTGTCAGCACAGTGCACTGTCCGCCCCTCCATTTGCATGCTGACCCCTCAGCTGCAGCCTGTTGCGCATGCACTAGCCTCCTGCCCAAGACTGGGGTGGGGTGGGCGAGTGCAGAGACCGGACTGCAATCACCCGGGGAAGATGTGGAGAGAGTTGCAGATGGCAGTGGAGGCTGGAAGCTGAGTCAGAGATGCCTGCATGCATACACCCCTTTAGGGACCTCGGAGATAGGATTTGATTAGTACAGGGAAGGGGGCCACCGCAGACCTCTGGCTAATGCTAAGGACCTGGGAATACCTGGTCAGCAGATGTTTGGAGTATAGATATAAAGATTTGTAAATGCCCAGATTTCCCAGTAGCTAAAGGCAGAAACAGCCCAAATGTCCATGGACTAATAAATGAATAAACACATTGTGCATCCATACAATAGAATATTATTCATCCGTAAAAAGGAATGAAGTACTGGTAGATACTACACATGTCGATGGACCCTGCAAACACGCTGAGTGAAAGACACCAGGCATAAAGGGCCACATATTATATGACTCCATTTATAGAAATATCCAGAATAGGTCAGTTCAAAGAGAAAGAACGCAGATTGGTGGTTGCCAGGGGCTGGGAGGAAGGGGACTATGGGAACAGAGTTTCCTTTTGGGGTGAGGACAGTGTTTTGGAACTAGGTAGAGATGGTACTTGCACAATATTGTGAATGCACTAAATGGCATTGGAGTTTTCACTTTAGTTAATTTTATATGTGGATTTTACCTCAATTTTTAAAAAATGCCCAGAGCCCAGGTTCATTCTTTCCATCAAAAGGCCCTTAGAGGGCGCCTGGGTGGCTCAGTTGGTTAAGCGACTGCCTGCGGCTCAGGTCATGATCCTGGAGTCCCGGGATCGAGTCCCGCATCGGGCTCCCTGCTCGGCAGGGAGTCTGCTTCTCCCTCTGACCCTCTTCTCTCTCTTGCTATCTGTCTCTCATTCTCTCTCTCTCAAATAAATAAATAAAATCTAAAAAAAAAAAAGGCCCTTAAAGTCCTGCTGGCACGCTCTCACCAGAGCCATGCGTGGGGCTGAGACAGACATGCTTGCAGGCGCAGCCCTGGACAAAGGACGGCTGCAGAGCTCGCATGTGCCAAGGAGAGAGCAGAGACCCGCAGCCCCACCCTGTCACCACCGCCAGCCTCATGCAGGGTCGGGGGAAGCCCCAGGGAAGCCCCCATCTTAATGTGATCTGACTGAACAGAGACCCAGTCTCTGGGCTGACCCAGCATGGGCGTCTCCGGGGAAGCAGCAGGTTGGTGAAGAGGAGGAGGCACTGGGAGCCGGAGCATGGCCCAGCACACCTGTCCTTGGGACACGTTCCCCTTAGGGAGCCGGGGGGTGGGGGGGCCTGGGCTCTTCCCTTCCTAACAGCTCTGAGTTAAGCCCTGTTAAGCCCCCACCTAGGAGGGGCAGGGTCTGATTCACCTCAGTGCTCCCAGAGCTCCAAAGATAAGCCCAGCAAATGTTTCTGGAACAAGGAAAGAGGGAGGGAGGGAAGATCCTGTAGGATTCGATGCTGATGCCAAAATTGCTACCACCCTGGTGGATTCTCATTTGTTGGGTCAGGGATGGTAGGTCCAGGACATGGGGAGTCTTATGAACTCTCTGGGTGATTATAACATACAAGCTAGGACGAGGACCACTACTCTAGGATGACTAGGTGTGAGTGGTTCTCAAGCTGGCTACACATTCTTAGAATCACCTGGGCAGTGTTTTGAACAATGCTGATGCTCTGGACCTGCCCCAGACCCATTATAGCAGAATCTCTGACGGTAGAGTCCAATCCCCAAGGTGACCGTCGTGTGTCCGCAGGGTTGAGAAGACTTTGGCACGTAGACTGTGGGCAGGGTGCCCAATATCACTGCCAGAGACCAGGGTCTGGTGCTGAGGAGGGTGCCAGGAGTGTGGCCACCTGAGGGATTTTGCTGAGTGAGGCTAACAAGCCCCGGAACGAGGCTGAGCAGAGACCATTTTAAGGGAAGGAGACTTTGCCTCCCTGTCCTGAATCTTGGTAACTTCTGCAGCTGGAGGCCAGTCACTCCTTAAAACCTTGTGGAAGTCAGAGAATACAGGGCTGTGAATCAAGCACAGGCCCTCACTTGGAGCCTCCCAGCCTACAGGGTGAGGGAGAGCTGGACAGATGGATGTGGGCACGTGCACACCAGGGGTGGCACCCTGATGAGGGCATCGGCACAGGGGACTGCTGGGCCTCATCAGCCTGGAGGTAGGGGATCATGGAAGGCCTCCTGGGGGAGGCAATGTTGGAAGTGACTTCAGGGAAGAAAATAGGATAGGGAAGAAAGAAGGTTCTGGGCAGAGAAGTCATATCTGC